TCTGAAGTATTGCAATAACCTTCCAGTCTGTCCTAGCTGAGCTCGTGACCCTTTCTGAGAGTTATGACACATTTGAAGATGGAAGAACATAAGCAAACCTTCCAAGGGAAAACACACACATGCACGCACACCAACCCACACTCACATACTGCTAACATATTGTACACAATTCCAAAAGATTCGCAGAGCTTCTACCATGCTCCTCAGACCCCTCCAGGCAAAAATCTCCATGTTAGTCTGAGTAAGCAGATGTGAACATTTGGGTCTTCTGCTGAAAACCCCTGCTCTTTGGTGAGGGTACCCAGGTCCCCCACAATTTCTCTCCACCACAAATAGCACAGCCCACAGCAGCCAACCACACTCATGGCAGCTGTCTGTGAAGGGCTCCGCCCCACCCCAGAGTTTAGCAGATGCTGTTCCTCCTGCCCAACGCACCCTTCCTTCCAGGGTTGCCTGGCTTAACCCTGCTCCCACTTTGGACTAGATTCCCTTTACTTGTGATCTCTAGTTCCCAGAGCTTCCGTCTGCCACAGCACTTCCTGAAGTATATTATAGGGTGTGTGTGTGTGTGTGTGTGTGTGTGTGTCTTACGAGTCTCATCACATCTGAATCAGGAAGGATAGCTTTCATCTCTGCAACTTCAGTTCCTGACACAAGCAGAAGTTCATTAGGTTACTAATAAACGTAAAAGAGCAATAATGGTAGCATTATTTCTACTTTACCATATTGTTTTCAAGGTATGCCTTGGTAACTTGGCGTTTTCCTCTTATTAAGGTATAATGCTTTATTTCTTAGTCAGGGTAGCTAGTGTATGAGTGTCTGTGCTTTTAAAATACATTTTTTTATATTCCTGAAACATAAGTAAAAAAGATTAAAGGTATTATCACGATAAATGAGTTGGTGCCTAGGTGTCCCCTGAGTTCTGAGGAAACGTACCCCAAGATCTGTGCTCTCATGATATTGCCTCCAGAAGCTCAGCGCTGATTTCTGCAGGTCTTCCTCCGGGAATTCACGGCCCTCCGGGAATTCACGGCCTTTCTCAGCTGATTATGGGAGATAAGAATCTAGAAACATTTTCCACATTTGAATGTCCAGTTGAAAGAGCTCATTAAGGACACAAATCTTAAATTCGGATAAGAGATAAAGGTTTTAGAGCTAGACATATTTATAATTGAAAACATTTTAATATAGCGGCAGAGATTACCAACTAATGAACTGAGAGCCTCCCTAACACCAGGTCATCAGGTAAAACCAGAATTTACAAACTCACCATCCTCATCTAGATAAATGTTGGGAAAGTTGCTTAATAAGAAGAGAGCGTATTCATTGAAGAAAAGCCTTTTACAAACAAATAACACTAAAATATTTTACAGCCATGTAATTGTGTATCTTCTACTCTTCTGCCATTACAGCTTATTTCTCTCTGCCTTCCAAAACAAACAAACATGAAAATGTCCTTGGCTTTTAAGGTGTCACCTCTTCTTTGCTTTGATTTAGTGCTCTTTGGCCACAAGCCCACTGGCACCCTGCCATGTCGTCAGGCTCCTCTGCATTGCCTTGGAAGGGAAGGATTTGGCATTGCAGCACAGGAAGCCTGCTCCGGCCAGCGTTCCTACAAAGCGCCCTCTGCATGGCAGCCACCATCTGTTCGGCCTTTTCTCCTTAGATAGGGCAGGTCCTTGGGATGCCCTGTTCCTCTTCCCCCAAAACAATCCCTTTCCCCCAAGACACAGGCTCTGTCCACAGCCCCCCGGGAAACAGAAGGGCAGCTCCATCTCAGGGACCAACATAAAGGAAACAGCAAACAGCCTAAATATTTGGAAGTGTCAACAAGGTCCTGTCTGAGGAAAACAACAACTAACAAAACAAAAAAATAAAACAACTCTCTTCCAAACACCTTGAGGTCCTCAGTCTAGAATCATTTCCTTGCCGTCCTCACGAGTTAGAGCCACACTGAATTTGTCACTGCAGACAGGCAAGATAACAGAGAAAAACATGTCAACAGACCCCAACCAACATGCTTTTTGGTCTTTGGTATACCTGGTTTGAGATCGGTTCTTCTACTTACTGGCTCTGTCTCAAACAAATCATAGAATCTCTTTGAGAATTAATTTGCTCCCCAGTAGGATCAGAATGGAGATAAAAATAAAACCCATCTTGTAACAGCCTCTCTCATACTCTTCTTTAATTCAAGGAGAAGTTTTGCTTGAATTATCAGAATAAGAATTTACAATGTCCAAACATCTTTGCTATGTGAAGAAAATTGTTAACAGAAACCAATTTATGACAGTGAGACAAGTTCTCTGAGTGAAGTACCCTAGATTGGTATTTTCCCAGATTCTAAGTAAGAGAAACTAATCCTGGAATATTAGGAAAAAATAGTTTTCTCCCTTTGGAGCCAATATCTTTTCAACAAACATTCCCCAACAGTTAAAAAAAAAAATACATGATTAGGAGATTATTCTGTTAAGATTATAGCAGGAAAAATTCAGTTCGGCCTGCGATATCTGTCCAACTGCACAAAAAAAATCAGTTAAAATCCTTATAGTACAAAATTGCATGCCTGCACACACATTAACATGTATATATGGAGGTACGTGTATTAGAATAAGAAGCCAAGGTATTTCTCTTCCCTATGTGATAACCTTTTAAATGCTTTACCATTAAACTGTGGATGCTCTATGCCTTCACTGGATGGGTAAACCAGTGGATTACCACAAAAGTATCAGTAGTGTGGCCAGGCGCAGTGGCTCACGCCTGTAATTCCAACACTTTGGAACGCCAAGGCAGGTGGATTACCTGAGGTTGGGAGTTCGAGATCAGCCTGGCCAACATGGCAAAACCCGTCTCTACTAAAAACACAAAAATTATCCAGGCATGGTGGTAGGCACCTGTAATCCCACTACTCAGGGGGCTGAGGTAAAAGAATCCCTTGAACCCAGGAGATGGAGGTTGCAGTGAGCGGAGATCATACCACTGCACTCCAGCCTGGGTGACAGAGTGAGACTCTGTTTCCAAAAAATAAAGAAAAAAAATCCATGGTGTACAGTTCAAATCTATCCAATAAAGCATTGATATAACACTTCACAAAATGCAAAAACCTCTGCATCTAAGGATCTATTCACGTCTCAGGCTCTGGGGTCAATAATTCCCTTCCATTAACAACTTCCTGTTTGCTCTATGGTATCCTTCATCAGGAGGAACTCTTTCCACTATTTTGGTTCTGCTTTTCTTTCCCTACCCACAAAATCATTGCACCTAAACAAGAAACTGATTTGTTTTTAAATCAGGTTTTCTTACAGAATCACTGCCATAAGAGGATTAATGGTTTGTTTTCAATCTTTTTCTCCTCCCAGATCTATTTTTAAAGCAAATTTTATTTTGGGATGTCCTGACTGGGATGATACTAAATTGAAAAGCCTGGTGCAAATTTTATTGACCTCCATTTCCTACTCCAAAGGATGTCCCCTACTAATCTGTCATCTACAGGGCAGACAAAGGCCAGAGGTCAGGGAAGCCAAAACAGATGGTGTGTGTAAGAAGCCCAGGACCAGACTCTTTATGTTTTGTTGATTGGTTTTAAAATAGTCAACTAGAAGAAAAAGGAAAAAACACATGAGCATTTTTCTTCTTATTCTAAGCTGTGCCAAACTAAATGTTACTCGTCATGTGCATGGCAAACACAGTGCCTACAAATAGATTCTTAATCAGTGTTTCTTGGGTATGAGAGAATGAATGGATAGAATGAGGGATGGATGATGGGGGTAGATGGGTGGATAAATAAATGAATGAATATTATTGATGATTTTCTATTTAAACCATGCCCAGAACACAAAAAGACAAAAGTTATGACTTAGCAAACTGAATTACAGGCCAGTCATTCCACCTGCTGGTCGTCACGCCCTCTCCCCCGCTGGCGTCCTGCTCTCCGGCCCCGCTGTGTAGTCTCCAAACGCTGTAAACAGTATGCGGCGGATGAACAAGCGGCAGCTCTATTATCAAGTCCTAAATTTCGGAATGATTGTCTTATCAGCACTAATGATCTGAAAGAGGTTAATGGTAATAACTAGAAGTGAAAGTCCAATTGTAACTGTAGTGGTTCTCGGTGGCAACATGGAACCTGCATTTCATACAGAAAATCTTCTCTTTCTAACAAATCAAGTTGAAGATCCTAGATGAGCGGGAAAAATCATTGTTTTTAGGATGGAAGGAAGAGAGATTCCTGTAGTTCACTGAGACTTGAAGATTCATGAAATGCAAAATGGGCATATCAAGTTTTTGACTGAAGGAGATAATGATGCGCTTAATGACTGAAGCCTCTATAAACAAGGAAGAATTGGCTAGAGAAAAAAGATGTTATGGGAAGAGCCGGGGAATTTCTTCCTGATACGGGAATAGTGACTATCCTCATGAATGACTATCCTAAATTTACGTATGCAGTGCTCTTTTTGCTTGATTTATTTGTGCTGGTCCACCGTGAATAAGAAGTCTGCCTTGCCGTTCCCGGGAAGATGATGCTTTTCATTACTGGATGCTTGGAGTAGATATTGGTCTATGATTGGTGGAATGGAGAACACACGTGTTGGCGCGTCGTGGCAGCACAGGTTTGCATTAGCTTATATTTCCACACTCGGGTTCGTGTGGGTGGGTACATGTGCACCCCAGAGTGCACTTGAGGGGACTTTCGATCGCAGGATTCCATAGTTGTCATTGTCCGCTTTCACATTTTTGTACATCAATGAATTTTTTATATTAAAAGATTGAGCCAAAAAAAAGAAAGAAAACTCTCTGAATTACAAAGTGAATGCCTCCCTACTTTTTAGAGATCAACAATGTGAAGTTTTGTCTATATCTTGCCCTATTTTGCCATATTTTAATATTTTATTGTTTTATATTATTTATCTATATATCATTAATTTTTCCCCAAATTATGATCACCTTAGTGATCTTCATTCTAAAGATTCTAAGTTAAAACAGTTTAATATTATGAGAAAGACAGTATTTTGAAAAAAAAAAAAAAAAACGAAGTTATTCTCACATTGCACAATATAAATATAAATTGTAGTTGAATTGAATATCTAAATGTAGGGAAAAAACGTTGGGTTCCCAATAGCAAAAATATCTTAGGATCACAGTGGCTTAACATAGGAAAGTTTCTTTCTTTCTTTCTTTCTTTCTTTCTTTCTTTCTTTCTTTCTTTCTTTTTTTTGAGACTGAGTCTCACTCTATCACCAAGGCTAGAGTGCAGTGGCACGATCTTGGCTCACTGCAACCTCCACCTCCTGGGTTCAAGCAATTCTCCTGCCTCAGCTTCTGGTATAGTTGGGATTACAGGCAGATGTCACAATGCCCAGCTAATCATTGTATTTTTAGTATAGACAGGGTTTTCCCATGTTGACCAGACTGGTCTTGAACTCTTAACCTCTGGTGATCTGCCCACTTGGGCCTCCCAAAGTGTTGGGATTACAGGCAGAGCTACCACACCAAGCCAGGAAAGTTTCTTGATTATGCGAAGTCTGAAGTGAGCCTGGAGACTCTTCAAGGGAAGCTTCCTTCCATGTGATGACTCAAGGATCAAGGCTGCTTCCATTTTGTTCCCACAAAATATGAACCATTTAGTTTCAAGGTGTAATGCTGAAGGAGAAGAGAGATCTGAAGGTTCACACAGGGATCTTCATGATCAGGGGTAAAAGTGACACAGAACTGCCTATGTCACCTCTACCCACATCTCATTGGCTAGAATGAGTCAGATCCATGTAACTTAATTCTAAAAAGGGTTGAGCACAGAACTGGAAACTGTGTCAAGAGAGACAAACTGATAAGAGAAAATTAAATATTCAAAATAGATGTTCAGACAACATAAAATTATAAGATTCACTACATAAACCCAGATATATCAACGTGTCTATTTCAGATTCTCTCTTATGTACCACTGATCTATTTCTCTCTATATATACTATTAGCCAACCATTTTAATCTCAGTAATTATGTATTATCTTAGGGAGCAAATTTCTTTTTCTGACTCTTCTTTTCAAATGCTAACTTCATTGTTACCAATAAATTTTAAAGCCAACTTGTCTATTTCCCAAAACAATTCACTGAGATCCTAATTGGATTTGCATTATCTTTGCATATTGACTTGGGAAGGAACAGTATCTGAATGCTATTCAGTCTTCTTATGAGGAATTATTACCACGTCTCATTTATTTTAGATCTATTTTATGACCTTTAATAAAAATATCTATAGTGCTCTAAGTTATTCTTAGATGTTTTACAAACTAATTTGACAATATCTTGAACGTGATTTTTCCCATTTTAATTTCTAATTGTTCAATGCTAGTGAAAAGGAAAGTAATACTTATTTCTGTATTCCATCTTATATAAAGCCATTTTTAAAAATGTTCTTAATAGTCTAACAGTGTTTTTTTTTTTTTTTGAGACAGAGTCTTGCTCTGTCGCCCAGGCTGGGGTGCAGTGGCACGATCTCAGCTCACTCAACCTGTACCTCTTGTCTTCAAGTGATTCTCCTGGCTAAGCCTCCCAAGTAGCTGGAAATACAGGCATTTGCCATCACACACGGCTAATTTTTGTATTTTTAGTAGAGACAGGGTTTTGCCATGTTGGCCAGGCTGGTTTCAAACTTCTGGGTTCAAGTGACCCACCCACCTTGGCCTCCCAAAGTGCTGGGATTACAGATGTGAGCTACCTTGCCTGTCCCAATCTGTTGAATTTGTTAGATTTTTAGGTATATTGTCATATCATCTATAACTGATAAGTGTGTTTCTTTTCTTCCAAGGTCATTTTCCTGTATTCCTAGTTTATTTAGAGCTTTTTATAAAGTGATTTAGGGGCCAGATATGGTGGCTTGTGCCAGTAATCCCAGCACTTTGGGAGGTCGAGGCGGGCAGATCACTTGAGCCCAGGAGTTTGACACCAGTTTGGTCAACATGGCAAAAACCGTGTCTCTACTAAAAATACAAAAATTAGCCAGTTCTGGTGGCGCTTGCCTGTGATCCTAGCTACTCAAGAGGCTGAGGCGAGAGGATTGCTTGAATCAGGGAGGTGGAGGCTGCAGTTAACCTAGATTGCACCACTGCACTGCAACCTGGATGACAGAGTTAGACTCTGTTCAAAAATAAAAATAAATAAATAAAATGGGGCTTAAAATTCACTCCTAAATTTAATCATTTGTTTTTTGTGTCATCTATTTATAAATCATGATTTCCCCCTTAAAGTTTTAATATGATAAACAAATTTAATAGATGGTCTGAGGGTAAACAATCTTGTATTTCTTTCATAAACCCTATCTAATTGTGCTATGTTTAAATCTTAACTAGAATGATATAAACATTTAATTCTCAACAATTGGAAGTAATCTGTAAGTCAGAAATTGAGGAATGGTTCAATAAATTAATGAGAAAGTAACATTATGAAATATTTTATGACCACTAAATATATGATGTATACTTGGCTTAATCTGTTCAGGCTGCTAACAGAATACCATAGATAGGATGGCTTATAAACAGCAGAAACTTATTTCTCACTTTCCTGGAGGCTGGGAAGTCCAAGATCAAGGCATCAGTAGGTTCAGTGTCTGGCGGAGCCTGCTTCATACACTGCTGTCTTTTTGCCTTTTCTCTGTGTCCGGACAAAAAGGGGAAAGAGATTTCCTGGGGCCTCTTTTATAAGGACTTCACCCTCATGATATAATCACCTTTCAAAACCCTGCCTCTAAATACCATCACATTAGGCATCAGGTTTCAGCAGATGGATTCCGGAGGACACAAACATTAACTCTTCAATAGCGATATCTAATTCCGAGTTTCAATTTTAAACAGGATCTAAGTAGGAGTTGGTTGTAGAATTGCGGATAAAAGCTGGAGGTGACCAGATACTGAGGCTCAGCATATGCTAAAGCTGTCTAAATGCCTTCTGCAGAAATCAGGATTGATCTTGGCTACAGGAGCAGGGCTGAGACTCAGAAAGAGGCCACGAAGGCTGGGAACTCAGCAGGTCTTGAGAACCAGGGGTGAGCTGCATGCAAAGGAGTCCCATGTGTTTAAAGCATCGTTGAAGGGGGGAGTACCAAGACGGTTACAAAACTGTCATGGCAGCTATGGCTGCCTATATGTAATTCCACATTCAGAAACTGTGAGAAGGTCTATGTGTCATACAATTTTATTGTTATCCATAAAATAGTTTATGATATTTACAACCAATAAAATTTTAAATGTTTTAAACTCTTTACACCCAAATAGAATCACAAACATAAATAAACTTAAAGAAACCAGACCACATGTTGAAGACTGTTAATTTGGAGATTGCTCACCCTGAATGTTAACCTTAAAACTCATGGGAGAGTGACTGTGATGATCTCATAAGATCACTCAACTGAAACTTTTCTTCTATGTCAAGAAGCCACTCTGCTTGCTAGGTACTGGCTGCCTAGATTGTGTTTGAGAAAGATTCTGAGGTCAAGACCATGTGCACAGAGAAAGGGACATGATAAATCAATGGTGGACAAGAGATAAGAGAATGGAGGCATTTGTGCCAAACAGACAATTTCCTCATCCTCACAGCAACAGGCTCTGCAGGTTCCTCTCGGGTCAGGAATAGTAACATCTCCTCAATGCCTCATTCTCACCAGGTTTTGAGATAGGAATCACACCGGGTGGTCGCCAGAGGATGGAAAAACCCAAACAACAGCCAAAACAGGAACTAGGCCAATAAACCACAAGATAGCAGAAAACCCAAAATAAGGGAGAAAATGGCCAAAACCCTAGTCAGGGTGACATGTTCATGACTCTTCCAGATAAACCCAAACAAGGGAGAAAGGGGATGATAACCAGGCGGGTCCCTGCAATTCCCTCCTTTTCCAGAATACCTAATAATTATTCTGCTCATTAGTTAAACACCCACTGAATTAGAAACCCAAACTCCAACATGCACAAGTCATTCTGATGAGCACACACACACACTTCTTCCGTAAGTGCGAGCTTTCACTTAGCAATGGAGGCTTCTTGCCCTGTACTTCATTCTGACTCGTCCCTGAATTCTCACATCAGCTAGGGCTGGGGTCTCACCGGCATCGGGACACCCTCCTGAGCCCTCCGACAACAGTTTTGTTCATACCCATCTATCACACTGCACTGGAGGTTACACATGTACTAACTTGTCAGCCATTTGAAGGCAAAGGACATATTTTAATTATCTCTATTCCACCAGCTATTTCAGTAACTGACATTTAATAAATATTTGTTAACCAAATTAATATCTTTGATGAGAAAAAATAGATAAGATTCCTAAAAAATTCTCCTTGTCATTCTGAGTATCTGGCCCATTTCTGTTCCTAATTCCTCAAGAAACCCATCTACATATTTCGATTTGGGTAACCACCAGCACAATAAAGAGACAAAATAAGTACATCAGTGCAAAGATTTTCCCCCACACTACTCCTTTTGTGCCCACATTCCACCTCACTCCAGCACCTCAAACTCCTGGCAACCACCAGTCTGTTTTCCATGTCTGTGGTTTTGTCATTTTCATAATGGTACATAAATACAGTCACATGGTATGTGTTCGATCTGTAGAAATTGGCTTTCTTCACTCAGCGTAATGTCCTTGAGATCTAGCCAAGTTGGTTCGTACATCAGTAGTTTATTCCAGTCATTCCTGAGTAGTTATTATGTGGTATGGATGCACCAGTTTAACAGTTTACCTTGTGTTTGTTTGTTTGTTCAGAGATTAGGTCTCCCCCAGGCTGGTCTTGAACTGCTGAGCTCAAGCTATTCTCTGGCCTTAGCTTCCCACAGTGCTGGGATTATAGAAATGAGCCATCACACCCGGTCCCATTTACCTAACGAGGGATATTTTGGTGGATTCTAGTTTTCGGCTATTACCAGCAAAGCCACCATCGATAATTGCCTACAGGTTTTTGTGTGAAGACACATGTTCATTTCTCTGGGATAAATACCCAGGTGTGAAATTGCTGGGTCATGAGGTAGCGTATGTCCAGTTTAAAAAAAAAAAATACTACCATGCTATTTTCCAGTAATTAGTACCGTTTTTCACTTCCCCCAGCCACGTATGAGAGAGGCAGTTTTTACACACCTTTTCTAGGATTTGATAATTTCACTATTTTTTTTAAATTTTAGGCATTCTAATAGATGTGCAGTAATATGTCATCCTTGATACCTAATGATGCTGAACATCCTTGATACCTAATAATGCTTATTTGCCATCTCTAGATATCTTTGATGAACTGTCTCATGATCTTTGGCCCATTTTCTAATTAGACTGTTTTTTGCTGTTGAGTTTTGAAGCTTACTTATAAATTCTTGGTATGACGCCTTTATCTTATATGTAGTGTGAAATATTTTCTCCCAGCCAGTAGATTGTTCTTCATCCTCTTAATAGGGTCTTTTGCAGAGCTAAGACCTTTAATAAGATCCAATTTATTGATTTTTCTTTTATAAATTATACTTTTGGTATCATATCCAAAACTCTTTACAAGCACTAGATCTCAGTCTCAAATCGAATCTCAAATGGGTGTATCTCTGTGGTGATATTTCTGGGTACTTTATTCTGTTCTATTGATCATTCTGTCTATTCCTCTGCTAACACCACACACAGTCTTGTTGTCAAATTTATGTATGCACAGGTATTCATACTCTTGATTTGTTAACTCTGTTCACGTCTGCAGGGTTGATAGTGCTATCTCCTGTTTTATTCCTCATACTAGTAAGTCGTGTCTTCTCTTTGCCATAATAGACTTTTCCTAGTATTATTGATCTTTGCAAAGGAACTTCTTTTTCCATTGACTTTCTTCATTAATTTTCTGTTTCCAATTTCAATTTTATTGATATTTGCTTTAATCTTTATTGGTTCATGCCTTCTCCTTACTTTGGATTTGTACTCTTCTTTTTCTAGGTTTTTGAAACGAGAGCTTATATTATTGATTTGAGGTTTTTCTTGTTTTCTAATGTAAGTGTTTAGTGCTATAAATTTATTTCCTAGTATTGCTTTGTGTTCCACAGATTTTTATATGTTGCATTTTCATTTTAATTCAGTTTAATACATTTGTTAAATTTCCCATGAAACTTTCTCTTTGACCTATAAATTATTTACAAGTGTTTTCTTCAGTTTCCAAGGGTTAGAAGATTTTTCCTATTATATTTCCAATACTGATTTCTAGTTTAAACCTTTATAAGTCAAAGAATATACTCTGAATAATTTCCATTTTTTAAAATTTATTGAAGCTTATTTTATCCCCAGGGTATGCTCTATACTGGTAAATATCCCATAGGCACTTGAAAAACAATGGGTATTTTGCTCTTAATGTGTGGAATACCCTGTAAAAGTTGATTAAATTCTGTTGAATGATATAGTTACTGAGTTCTTCTGTATCTTGCTGATTTTCTATCAAGTGGAATACTCTGTAAAAGTTGATTAAATTCTGTTGAATGATATAGTTACTGAGTTCTTCTGTATCTTGCTGATTTTCTATCAAGTGTTCTATCAATTATTTGCTTTCTTTTGATTAATATTTACATAGTATATATTAATATTTTTCCACTTACATGAGTCAGAGTTCTTCAGAGAAACGTAACTAATAGGAGTTATATCTATATATCAGGAGATAGGTCTATTTAGATGTAGATATAGATGATATAGACATAAAAAGATTTGCAATCATGGAGGCTGAGAAGTTCTACCTTGTCCTGAAAAGATTTTCAGCTGGCAAGCTGAAGACCCAGGAGACCTGATAAATACTTCCAGTCCAAATCTACAGAGCCGAAAACCAGGAGAGCTAAGGGTGTAAGCTGCGGTCTGAATGCCATTAGGGTTGAGACCCAATGTTTCCTGAAGATAAAGGCCAGAAGGACTAATGTCCCAGCTGAGTCAGGGAGGAGGAGTTCCCTCTTACTCAGACTTTTTGTTCTATCAGTGTCTTTGAATGATTGGGTAAGGCCCACCCACATTCGGAAAGGTAGAGCAAATCTGTTTTACTAAGTCTACTGATTCAAAGGTGAATCTCAACCAGAAACACCCTCACAGACACACCCAGAATATTGAATGGCCAAATATCTAGACACCATGTGATCCAGTCAAGCTGACTCGTAAAATGAAATATCATACCATCCTTTTACGTTCAACCTCCTTTTATCATTATATTTGAAGTGAGTTTCTTGTGCACAGTTTCTTGTAAATATTGATATGTCAGGGTTGAAATATGCAATTTTATTTTCTGTTTCCTGTTTATTTTTCAATTCACATCTTCTTCTTGCTATCCTGTGTATTATTTGAAGATTTTTAAGAATTCCAGCTTGATTTCTCTGTGTGTTTGGGCATATTGCTTTGTATAGCTTTTTAAGTGGTTACTTTAGGTATTTCATTATATGTATACAACACAATGGGTGTTGACAAGTCAGCAGTTCAGATGAAGTGTAGAAACTTCATCTCCTGTTACATTTTTTACTCTCTTCTATTTATAATATAATTTTCAACCCAGAAATTTCATTACTGGTCACATATCCAAAGGATTATAAATCATTCTACTATAAAGACACATGCACACATATATTTATTGTGGCACTGTCCACAATAGCAAAGACTTGAAACCAACCCAAATGACCATC